CCCAGTGATTCTTGAGAAGAAGTCGAAAATGTGAAAAGTTTACAGATGGACAGACGGACGGACGGACGACGGACAAAATGTGATCAGAAAAGCTCACTTGAGCCTTCGACTCAGGTGAGCTAAAAATTGTAAACAGATAGACAACAGCTTTGATCAGAAAATATATTTTGCTTTTGTCTCAGTGAAAAAACATCTCAACCAGATTTTATTTTATTTTTAACATTTTTCATTTATGACTGTAGGCACAATTTTCTTAGAATTGATAGAATGAGGGCACAATTTTATTCGGGAATTACTAAAACTTTCATTTCAAAGCCACCTCATTAATTTGACCTAGTAATGTATAAGAGTTAATTACCTTGTACTCAGCATTACTCTCAGCATTCTTCAAAAGTTGCAATAGAAATTCAGCACTCTTCTTTGGCCAACGACCTTGGGGATGTTTGAAGGCTTTAGCCTGAGATGTAAGGAAAAAGGAAATTAGACAAACAGAGTGCAGAAAATCCAGAGAAAAAAGATCTGCTCTGTAACAAGATGAATATCTTATAACTGATATAGTTGTGCAATGAACACAGTCTTCAAGTCATTTTCATGCTTTACTCAATACTTCTCATGTAAGAAACAATGACTAAGCAATATTTCAAGTATACATTGAAAATTTAAGAAATTGTATTAAAAAAATAAAATTTACCAGCATTTTGGATAATAAACAATTTCATAATTAAGTTTGTAGTTGCTTATATTTATGGCAGACTTGTCGGCAAGGCCGGTAAAAATTTGTCTGGACCGACAACATTTAAGCAAATGTCGGTCCAGATGACCGTTTGAAAAATACTTGAGCGTAATGCAAATTTAATAAAGGTCGGGATCTTTAAGTTAAAGGTCACAGACACAGAAAAAATGGCCGCATACACGGCGTGTTGACGACAGCCAAGTAAATTTGTTTTAACAGTCATAAAACATGTCATTTATGTCTATGTTAAAGACTCTCTATCCCAAGAAAGGAAACTTGTTAGATTGAAGGCTATTGAAAATAATAAGGGGCATTTTGGAGCTGTTATTCATTTGACTTTCTCAGCATCAAAATAAGGTACAAGCATCTGGTCTGACAAAAGTTTGACTGGTCCGACAGAACATTCGACTTTGTCAGACCAAATGTCTGACAGTGATTAAAAAATTTCGACAAGTCTGTTTATGGGAATTAAATTTTCAAGTATAAAACCCTCTTTGTCAGCGACATCCACAATCTTTATTTAGTAATCAATTAGTAGCACCAAAGATATCCAAACAATTGACAAGCTACTGTTAACAGTAATCATTTCATCACTATAATATTGTAAATATTTATTTAGATGTCCTTGACTCCTTGCATCACAAGGTAATGGAAAAATTAAATATACACTACAAGAGACAAAATACCCCACCATTATGACCTGTATGTGATCTGATCTTGACTGCCTTTACCTGAGCACAGCGACCAACTCCACCGCTAAATCTGCGGAAAGGAACCACTTCCTTTTTAGCCATTACATTCTTCAGATATTTTGTTGCTCTCTTCACATGCATACGTTTGATGGCTTGTGCTGTTTCCCTTGTGTTCTAAATCATGTAAAATCAGCTCAACATTAAACAAGATTTACAATGAATGAGTTCCAAGTCTTTCTCCCCAACAAAGAGACTGATGCTTTATCTGTATATTTTGACATGCAATTGCAGCAGTGTTAATGAAGTTTGATAAATACTGAAAATTTTAAAGATAAAACTCCCGTTACAGCCTTACCTTGAAATGGACACGAAGGTAAGATCCCCTAGCCTTGGCCGCTGGAACAAAAGAATTAAACGTCAAATTATTACTCCCATTGCCAAAATTTATTTTAAGAAAGTATTGTCTCACAAAAACTAAATTCTTACATTTGGTTGGGTTATCTGGTTCAGTGGCGTATCGAACCATTTTTCACTCCCTGAAGAACACAAATCAGATGATTAGCAGAGCATTTAAAACGTTAAGCATGCTTTCCAGACATAAATATTATTTCAAGAAATTTCTGATCTTAATTTTAATCTTGAAGAGAATATCCCTATCTACACAAGAACATTTCCTTTCTGGCTTTCATTACCATAGTGTGAAAGGAAATGCAAGTTACTATATAAGGCAAGTTTGCCCGACCTGTTAAAATGTGTATTTTCAAAACAATTTCATTTCAGATCATGTGACAGTGAGCTGAAACGCTTAATTTTGACAACTGTGCCATCTATACTTGACTATATACAAGTCTCGACAATTTCTCTTCGCAAATGATTAACCAACAGAATTTAAAAAAAAAATCATGTCCTCAGACTTGTCATATTAAACAGTACAAAACTTCCTCTTTGAAACATCTTTAGAGCTATTTCAGACTTGTGAAACGAGAAATCGCATGTCTACACAAACAGAAAAAGAGTTTTCAATCAGGTGGGTCTGATCGGACTTTCAGTTTTATTCTAAAACAGGTACAACCAGTACCACTAAATTATATACTGTGTTGAAGATAATAAATTGCAGAAGCGTATACTTTAAGCAAAATTTGTATTTGTATAGTCTATTCGTGAGATAGATGCAGATTTCTTCGTGAATATTAAGAATCATGTTTGTGTACCCTAAAATGGCCGGAAAAGGAAGTAACATAATTTACAGAAGGTGGAGTTCGTTTTTCCGGATTTATATTTTGACATAAAATGTCGATATCTGAATAGCGTGCTTGAATTGTATAGAAGTAAAATAATCAAAGTATAATTTGCATCTTCAAAGTGTTGTTATCTGATAGTACTAAGTAGAAACGTAGTGTCCAGGGTGGTGTGAGAGGATGTGTGTGTGTGTGTGGGGGGGGGGGGATATGCTGTAGGCACTGTAAAATGCACTAGTTGAAAACATCCAAGGTATGCAACAATGCATCATTGGGGAAAAAAATGTTAAGCTAGCCACGTCTGAGTTTTCAGATCTGTTACATTGATTCATTATTGTGTTTGTTCCTATTCTTATCACAATATTTAAGTACTAAAATCTTTTTGGATGTTCCAATTAAGGACCTGTCTATATATATAGGTCCCTGGATGTTCATACAATGATACAATTAAAAAGATATTTTGGTATTGTTTGAAAGTTTTATTTTTAAATTAATGATAATTTAGCACAAGTTTTAACACATTGTCAATTGATATATAAATATCGCAATGTTGTTTTATATGAAGATAAAAGCACTATTTTCTGTCGAATTTCTTCACTCATCATAAGCATGCAATGGTGCAGAGGTCCGATCGGTTTGCACTTTCACTAAATGACAAAAATTTCTTTACAAGTCTTTTTTTCATCTTCCTCGTAATCACACTTTCTTTGGGTTCTTTTCTTGGACACTCTGCGCTTTTAATGTCTTTTGGAAACAATTTCTTCTTGGACTTGGTCTCTAGTGAAGCATTTCCAGGTCGCTGGTCGCGGTCTGTTGACGTAAGGTCGTTCCTGGTACTCGTGCGGAACATTCCCGTTGACCTGCGGCGATGCTCACGTGACACACTGGAATGGACTTTGTGTTCCCGGGACAAACTGATACTCTTTCCACACCCGGAGTCTTCCGATGTTTCGGATGAGCGGATCATGGTTGAAGAGTGGATCATAGTTGATGAGGCCACAGGAGGGGTTCTAAGACGACTGTGTCTGCTACTGGTGCTGATGAATGTGGAGGAGGCCAAAGGAGGGGTTCTTAGACGGCTGTGCTTGCTTCTGGTGTTGAGGAATGTTGAAGATGCCAGCGGTGGACTGAAATTGAAGTTGTCAATGGCAGTGATGTAGGGCAGTGAATCTTCTTCACAGCCATCAACGATCCTCGAAATGGAGGAACCAGCTGGGATCCGGAAGTTTGGAGTTTCAGGATTCGAACACCCTTCGACATGACGTAGCCCCTCTTCCCTCACTTCCATGATGTCTTCTGTCTCACAATGTTGACACATTTTTCAAATCAATCTGAAGAAAACACAAAATTAATTGTTAAGAGATTAATTAAATATACATACACACTGGTATATATAAACCATAAAAAATATCATTATAAGATAATTTTATCAATATGTCAGATTTTATAATTTAACAGAAAATAAAACAAATTAAAAATACATCCACATATGAACCAATAAAAACAATTATATCATATATTACATGGGGAAATATATAGTTTTTTAAAGAACTATAGAAGAAACATAATATGATTGTTTAGATTTCAAATGGAATTAAAGCGCTTACCTTATGAAATCGTCGGAACAAGATTTTTTTTTTTTACTTTGATACTTTTGAAGCTAGAATTTGTCCTCGATTGCATGAATTTCATAGTCTTTGATTCAGTTTTTTCTTCTTTATATATAATAAGGAAGGTCTCCATGACAAAATGTAAAATCTTATCTTGAGACTGTAATTTAGAGACAAGGCAAGCGTCTTGATCACCATCAAGATTGAGAGTCTCGATAATTACATTACACTGGTATTAATTACTTAATAAATATTTAATAATTACACTCATTCTACACACTAATCGATTTGGTCCATCGATTTAGGCTCGAACATAATTAAGATTAAAATTAATGAAAATATAACGATTAATTTTGATAAGGCTTCAAAAATATTATCTTTACATCCATAAATTATAAATTAATGTATAATGTATTAGCAACCCCAGCTATTTTTTTGCTGGGATATTGTACACAAATTCTATGTCACTGGAAAGAGGTTATTAAAATTTTCATAATACTTTTTATTTCACAAGTAAAAGATTTTTTATAGTATTTTATAAGATGCATGAAGCTGATAATAGAATTTTTCAGTTTTTTTAACACCGCTTTGAGAAAACGTGTTTACATTCATGCAACGTAAATACAAAAAATGTAAATGTTCACAAAATTAGATACTGATATTTAATAGGAAAATGTGCTGGAGGGGCAGACAACTCAAATCGGAAATGTTTGGTTTACCTTACTTTGAATGTGTTAGCATTTCAAGTACGTCACTTCCGGTTATATTATGAGAATAAAAATTAGGAGCCGATATGTCAAAATGTTAGTGTAGGTGCGCTGTTTTCCGCTCTTTACCACATTCCTGATTTAATGAACACATTTAGATAAGAGTGAGTTTTTCTACCACATCAAAGATGAAGAAGAACATGAAGGGACTGACTCTCCCGGGGGGAGAAACCACGCCGCCAGCACCTGGCCCTGCTGCAGGGGATCAACTCGAGTATGTATTTTACACAGCTGCATGTTCTCAAGCTGGGTTACTTTCACTTTGTATTGTAGGGAAGGAAAACGAAGTAGAACTATACATATACCGCATGTTTCTGAATTTTTCCATGGCCTTGAGATGATCGACCATGCCGCAAGATTATTACAATTGATTAAAACATATATTCCTTTTATGACTTTTTTTTATGCGCATATAACAGTTACATAAAATTGTAGCTTTTTTTTGTCTAGATTAAATTATCAAATGCAATACTAGACTGTCTTAGTTCTGATAACCTTTAAATTATTAAACAGGTTGGGACCAATCGCCCAAATGGGATATAATAGTCCGTTTGGGATATAATATCTCAAATGGGCTATAAATTTACAGTGTAAAAATTTGAAAATTTTTATTTTGGCAATAAATATCATAAATCCGCATCTGAACACTTAAAAAGGTTGACAAGTTTTCCTGTATGCCTATTGTTTAGGAGATTGATCCCTCGGAAGTTCCTTAACCTCTTGGGGATCAATCTTAAAAACAGTAGGGTTGCAGAAAAACTTGCTTACCAAAAATTATTCATTTTTAAGTGTTCTGATGCGGATTTATGATATTTATTGCAAAAATAAAAATTTTCAATTTTTGCACTGTAAATTTATAGCCCATTTGGGATATTATATCCCAAACGGGCTATTATATCCCATTTGGGTGATTGGTCCCAACCTGTTAAATGCTGCAACTATATCAAATTGTGTGTTCGGAAGCAATTCGACCATTGAAAGAGTGTAGTGAAATATTTTGTCATAGAAAGACCTGCATCTTCATATTTTTGAAATACAAATTTTGTTTCTATTCTAAATTGGAAAATGTATAAGGATAAAATTAAATACTAAGTGGTGTAGATTATTTGATAAAGCATTAAAATTTAATAATATTTGAAAAAACATAATAATTCGACAGATTGATAAACTAAGAATATAAGTCAACTTATGGTAAGAATGAAATAGATTAAATTTATGTACTCATACTTTAGATAGATGCCACCTTTGTAAACGATTGATAGAGTCTCACAAGTGTTTCTCATTTGTAGTAAATAAACGAGATAAATAAAGTGTTTATTAGAATCCATTAAAATTTTATAAGAAATGAATATAAATGTTGAAATGTTACAAATTGGGTGTACATGATTTTCAATTTCATGCTAAGATATCATACTTTTTTTTGTGTTAATCAGTATATAAAAACTGTAAGTGCTATTTTGCACTTAACAAGAAAATACAGTTCACACTGGATACCACCTGTTCAATAAAATTGGCCAGAAAAATCAGAAAACGGAATAGGAAAAATTCAGCAAAATATTGAAAAATTATTTCCCATTCAATATTGTTGATGCCCAGATATTATTCAAGGGTATGAGCAGTTGGAACTGATATTTATGCCTTTATACTAGAATTAGAATGCAAAATAGAAGTATCACTCAGAGTTACCGGTACACATAACTTTAACAGTACATGTTCCTTTGTTAAGGAACATGAGGAAGTATATTAAACTATTTAATATAAAACCAAATTCTGGAATATTCAGATCTGGGTTAGAAAAATTATACCGTACATTATACATAACCAGGAGGTTAAAACAAACAACTACAGTACTGTAGTAGTCTAACCAGGGATTTTCCACTCACTTTTGGGAATGGGGCCCAGGCCCTTGGAATTGGGAATTTTACGACATTTTATCACTTATTGGGAAATTTTATTGTATGATGTTTTTCGAGAAATAAATACTTAAGATGAATAAAACTTGATCTTTTACTTAGTTATTCAGAACTATGAATCAGAGAATTGATCATTATAAAAAAAGTTTTACCCAAGATTCTTCAAAATTCTGTTCATTTCATTCAAATTTCCAAACCTAAACACGTTTGTATTTTGTGAAATATGTTCAGGTTACCTTCTTGAGTTCTTCTTCTTTCAAAAATTGAACATAGGCAGTTCATTTTTGGGAAAAAGGGAGAGGTTTTGCAATTGGGAATGGGGCCCATATTTGGCCCAATCCCTGCTAACAGAATTAATTAACTGTAATCCCCCCCCCCCCCCTTTAAAAAGAGTTTTAAAAAATTAAGAGACTGATGAGGTATATGTAATTTGTGAATGTTGTATCTATAAGTATGTCATTCTGTTTGCATAAATGTTTCTTTTTTCCTAGTAAACCTAACAATGAGATCAGTGGGATAGACCTACAGGATTTACAACAGAGAGTGAAAGAAATGGACATCAATGAACAACAGAGAGAAAGACTGGAAACATTCCTGACCCAGAAACAACAAGTAGGAGAGCTGACCCAGGAAAACGACTTTGAGAAGCTGGGGGAACTCGGGGCAGGAAATGGGGGTGTGGTCATGAAGGTCATTCACAAGCCCTCCGGGATCATCATGGCCAGAAAGGTATTCAAACAAGCATCTTATATCACAAGAAAAATAAAGTTTCCCTTCTTCATAAGTTTATGTATATTTATAAAAAATATCTGGAAATCATTTTAGAGGGTTTGAATAGTATATTGCATTCAATGTAATGTCTCATGTCATTCAAAGTATAAGAGAGAATGAAATGATTTTAGAAATAAGCCCCCCCCCCTCCTTTCCCTTGCCAAAAATGAGGGATATAAACAAAATAAATTATGCAAATGCCTAGTCATAAAAGGACTAAGGTGAAGGTCGGTGATTGTTTATAAAAATAAAACATATGCACAACAAAACACAAATCTAGAATATGATTACATAAAATGGTTCAATGGATGACGAATATTTATAAGCATAGAACTGTTATGATATTTTCATAAGAACCTGAATGACCTATGGTTATTTAGCTGACTTTCACATGCACTGTCATGCAGTCAATATTGAAATATACACCCTGCAGTTGCTGCTATTGATTGCTTAGTTTTGTTATGCTTCTGTTGACAGTACTAATTAGTGTGTTACAATTACATTAACACAAGCTTTGTTCAGTCTGCTGCATTATTTATACAGGAAGCATGTGCAGATCTTTCTTAGAGCGTACTGATTGTTAAAATATCGAGTCCTATCCTAAGTACCCAAGCCTCTTGTCTGAAAATCAATGCTTCCATATTTATCCTCTTCTTTATTACAGATCTAGAATAGATGTCTAATAAAAGCTCTTTGAGTTCTAAATATACTTAGGAATATTGAGAACCGCTACAAACTGCTACCTTTCATTGATTGTCAGAAGAATTTAAACAATTTGTGTCCCTCATTCAGATGGCATTTAAATCTGGAGGCCCACGATTACATATTTTAAATGCCATATAGATTTCCAGCATGTGTGGAGAATAGGGACCTCCTACATGCTGCTTAAATTACATTGATATGTCACCAGTTGTAAACATGTCATAGTGTTCATGTATTGTGCACTCTGGAATAATTGAAGCTGTGGGTAAAGGAAGTTGATAAAACCTGATACAGGTGTAGATCTCTTAGGACAACAAGTGACATTGTGTAGATTTCCATGCAAACAAACAAACCGAAAAAGAACCCAAAACAATCCAGTGTATTTTTGGGGAACAGAACTCCTCCTCCATTGTACATTCTGACTCTTAATAGTTTGAAGATAAATGATTCTGAAAATATGTGCAAATTTACTTTACTGAATTTGACCTTGTCTGAAATTCACATGTATATGATCATTGAAAATGCCTGTGTCACTTAGATAACTTTAAATGGTGCTTGTACTTATAAAAAAAATGTTTTATCAAACAGATTAACTGTACTAAGCACGTAAAATACTAAGTAGAAACAATGAGAAATGTTCGCTCAAGTACCAGGATGTATATATACATTTCTAAATAAGTAAATCTTGAGTATTTAACATCATTGTTTTTACATTTTGAGTACAGAACACATTCCTCTTTGTATTGACCTTGTAATAAACACATTTATAATGTAGTAACATATAAATTTTAACTTTTCTCTGTAATTATTTCAGCTAATCCATTTAGAAATCAAGCCAGCGGTCCGCAAGCAGATTATCCGAGAACTTAAAGTCCTACATGAGTGTAACTCTCCGTTTATTGTGGGGTTCTATGGGGCGTTCTACAGCGAGGGAGAAATCAGTATCTGTATGGAGTATATGGTAAGATATGGGACAACTATACATCAGATTTATTTTTTAATACTTTAGCATTGCCGCATTATATAATTATAGCTTACAAAACCCCTCCCTTTTTCCCAAAAATGAACTGCCTATGTTCAGTGCCATAATTTACAAACTACAAACATGTTTAGGTTTGGAAATTTGAATGAAATGAATAAAATTTATGAAGAATCTTGGGTTAAACTTTATTATAATGATCAATTCTCTGATTCATATAGTTCTGAATAACTAAGTGAAAGATAAATTTTTATTCATCTTAAGTATTTATTTCCTTAAAAACATCATACAATAAAATTTCCCAATAAGTGATAAAATGCATTAATTCCAAGGGCTTAAAAAGTATCACAAACATTTCATTGATGTCACAATATGATATTTGAGATATTTTAAGGATTTCCAGCAATTACCTTGGTTAAGGTGTCATATCCAGAATACAGTTGCATTACCATACACAACAATGTTGGAAGCCCCAAATACTTTTCCATTTATTTTTATCCTAACTAGTACTTAGAATTCTCAGACATCTCGGAGTTTTTGTTCAATCCCAACAAGATTGAGATAATGGGGTTTGGCTGTACCTAATTGATTTTTTTAGAATGATAATAATTTAAATGATTTAAGCAATCAAGATATACTTATCCGGTACACCAATAGATATAGAACCAAAAAATAATAATGGAAAAAAATGTTTGAATTTCTCCTGCATTTTTCTCCACTTAATCATAAATTTAAGAATGATATTAAAGATAGTGAAATTATATATAGCCCATAATTCATGTTTTTGTGGTATTTCTAAAGGAATATTAATAGAAGTCTATATTTACTTGGATTCACTAGTTATAGTGTCATAATGAAAAAGATTCTTGAGTTACTCTTGTTTAATATAGCAACAGATACTGCTAATTTCCCTGTTGTGATACCTATGGTTGTAAAATTTATTCTATTGTAGGATGGAGGATCATTAGATCTGATACTAAAGAAAGCTGGACGGATTCCCGAACCAATTCTAGGAAAATTAACTGTGGCGGTGAGTGGGACAGTTTTATAATGGAGCCACGCATTTAGGAATATTGAGAACAGTTATTGCACTGGCAAAGAAAATTTACTGTTAGAAGACAGACTTAAGATTATAAGATGTGATTTATGGAATGTAATATCTGCGTGCTAATTTTTCAATCTTGCAGGTTCTAAAAGGATTAAGCTATCTTAGAGAAAAACATCAAATCATGCACAGAGGTAGGTTTCATATAAAGAATAAAGATATCTTTGAGAAAGCATCAAAGCTTGCACAAAGATAGATATTAAATGAACAGAGCAATCATTTTTGTGATAAATTGATTTTTTGCACCAGAAAAATAAAAAATGGCTACAGGCATTTACAGATTAAATTGCAGCGTATTTAAATCTAATATCCCGTATGGTTTTTAGACATGCTACAGTACAAATTAAATGTAACCTTTGTTCCCTATAATTCTGAAATATTTTATAAATTAGGTTATCTAGTGTCTGCTTCAGTTCATACCATACTGGAGGCATTTTATTACTTGGCCACAACATGGTATTAATCTATTATACTGTTAGGTTTTTAGCTCATCTTAGGCAAAGGTTCAAGTGAGAGTTTTTGATCAAAGAATGTTGTCCCTCATTTGTCTTCTGTAAACTTTTAATGTTTTTGACTTCTTCAGAACCATTGGACAAGTTTGAACCAAACTTGCCACAAAGTATTCTTAGGTGAAGGGAATTAAGTTTGTTCAAGCAAAGAGCCATTTCCTCATTAAATGGGAGATAATTAAGAATTCATGAAAATTGGTTTTCAAAAATGTTCTTCTCAAGAACCACTGGGCCAGAAAATATGAAACTTTAATATGTGAAACTCAATACACAGTGTAGATTCAAATTTGTCAAATCATGACCCTGGGAGGGAATAGGGAGAGGCCACAATGGGGTATCAAATTTTTACAATACATGTATTTAGGAATAAAATGTTGATAAATTATCTCCTCTAGACATGTACCCTGCCTAGACCATGGCCATGTTGGAGAAAAGTCACCAATATTGGTCAAATTATTGAATCATCATTGAAGCTAAAACATATTATATTAATGATATATATGTCTTCTGAATTACAGATGTAAAACCTTCCAATATATTAGTAAATTCAAGGGGTGAAATAAAAATATGTGATTTTGGAGTTAGTGGACAACTGATTGATTCCATGGCCAATTCCTTCGTCGGAACAAGGTCCTACATGTCGGTAAGTACAAATTTCAAACACAGAACAACTGCTTTATGTTGATTGTATTTAAAAGAGCTTTATTTCACACATTTATGTGTACTTATTGTCTCTTAGTGTCAAAATTTATTATTTGAGTGAACTGTCTTTCATCGGTCAAGTGGTCTTTTTGTATTTTAAATTTCCCCTCTGTCTTGTTATCCAGGGAAAAATTATTAATTTTATTTGATGCAGTAATCAGAAATTAAGTTTACCATTGCTTGACGTTGTTTTAGCCGGAGCGACTACAAGGTACTCACTACTCGGTACAGTCAGACATCTGGAGTCTGGGGCTGTCGCTGGTCGAGATGGCCATTGGTCGGTACCCCATCCCTCCCCCCTCCCCCGAGGATCTGGCCAGTATATTCGGGGAGAACGCAATGGCAGAACACATGGAAGCCGCTAAAACAGGCAAACCCCTCAAGGGTAAGACATTTTCTGTAATACAAAGTTACAAATGATTTGACTGTTTTAAGTTTTGTTATTGTTATTCATTAATGTGTATTCATTTTTTTTTTTCAATTTAAGCAAATCAATTTGAATAAATCAATTTTTTGTGAAAAAGATATGGAAAAGGTAAATTTGCATTCATGAAAATATTTAATTGAAATATATTATGGCATGAATTACATTGTTTTTGAACATTGAACAGGGGTGAGGGCCAAGGATGGTAAAGCATCAGATATGACAAATATTCTTGTACATTTCATCTTTATTTTACCCAGTTACCTATCATTTCATCTTGTTACCTTAATTTGCATAAAAGTCTGAACATTCTACATCATTCAATAGAAAACAATTATGGCCTACTGATATAATGTACATGATTTGAAAATCTTGTAAATAATTACATGTATATCTGATATAAAGGGCCTTGATTGTACAGAGCACACCTGCTTGCCTGACTGCTCGGTATGACTGTGGTGTGCTATTTTCAGGGTGTCCCGGAGATTTTCAGGTTCTTACGGGTGATGGTCCTTTACCAATGGCCATCTTTGAGCTACTTGAGTACATTGTAAATGAGGTAACATGAGAGACTCTCTTCTTGTATGCCTGCCTTTAGTACAACTCACAGTGCTCTTGTTCAAAATAGCCATCATCCAGCAGCAGTATCATTTATTGTAAAAATGCCACCTACAAATAGCAATATGTGTGTTTTGATTTCTGGAAAATGTGAGTTATGTTTCCCAGATATGAATTGTAACAGTGCTATTTTAAACAAGAGAAACCAAACTGTACAGAAGCTTTATACCAACTGCTGATCTGTATAATGTGTGCATTCCATTATGTTACATTTCTCCATTTTCATATACATGTATTTTAATTTTCTTTTTATTTCAGTGCATTATTTTGTTTTAAGGTTTATCATTCCATTACCCCCTTTCCCAAAATAGAAGAAACAAACTTTGCAAAAAATGAGTTTATAACAATGAAAGGTTTTAAAATCAAGCAAAATGCCAAGGAAGAGACCTTTCAGGTTGTTTATAATCTGTGTCTCCTTTTTTTGGTAGCCTCCCCTAACAGAGTGACCTCCCCTTTACAGACAGTCATGCTGTTGTGGCCATGCTTCTCACCCCTCATTCCACATGGCTTCAGTAATGTTTTATTTTGCTTGCCACGTGACACGTGGACTTGACTCTAAGTTTGTGATCATTCTGTGCTTGTTTTATGCATTTTAGGCTCAGACAGAAATAGTTTTAGCTTTCCTGGCCCGCCGGGCACGGACGGCCCTCGACCGATGGCCATTTTTGAGCTTTTAGATTATATTGTTAATGAGGTATGTGTAGGAGAGCAGTCTGAAGTGGTTTTACTGATAACGTAAATAATAACAATCTCTGTGTCAGATCTGTTAATGTTGTAACTAATGTAGTTCATAGAATTAATAATACCACATGCAGTGTTACTTTGATAGAAACGGAATACGTTTTAATGAGAAGTGTAAGTGTGGGTATGTTCCAAGTTTAAATGACATTATCTGGTACTAAGCATCAACCTTTTAAGTCAAGTTGCTCCTCAAACAATGGTTTACCCATTTTTTTTGTTTAACTGCACCAAAACTTTTAATTTTGAATGTCTATACATGCTTTTCTTGAAGAATTGTGTATTTTTGCCATGGAACTGATAAACAACACACACACAATTAGTTTTTCTTTACTGGAATAATTTTCTTTTCAATGAATCAAATAAATACAATTTAAATGTATCAAGAAAGACATGACATATTGGATAAATTTACTGTAGACGTACTTTTTTCCAGGGGGTCATGATTCCACGGAATATCAATTTCTGTTTGATCTGCGGGTAGAAAATTACGCGGATTTCTTCAACTGTCACTATATGCCTTACATTTATATTAAGTACGCATGGACAAATTTCCGCGGAAAGATTGTGACCGGGTACATAGCGTAAATTAATACCGCACGAAAAAAAGTTCTTCTACAGTATTATAATACAGAGGAAAATTTAAATGAAAAACAGTATTTTTTTTTCTTTTTTGGTATAAGAGAATTATTTTGGCTTCAAATTTTTTACACATGTAGTTTTAGTGAGTAATTTTGTTCTTTTAAGCATTTATTTCCTAAAGTCATTAATTTAACTGGAAGTTTTTATTTATTTACAGCAGTTTGTTCTTTCACAAATATAAGCAAAGCACAAAGTGTGTATTTCGAAGCACTTTCTAAAATACTGATTTTGAAACAAAACAATTTTTGTTTGTCACATTATACTTTTTGTTGTTTTTCCCCTTGGTTTATTTATTGTGCTTTTGGTATGATTTTAAATTATACATGTTGTTAAGTGCATTTTTTAATGACATCCCTATTTACCACAGGTAATTTTGGCATGGAAAGTATATGTATGTAACCATACATGTATCTATAAATAATATCCCACACAAATCTTTATTTAACTGAGAAGAATAGTACATGTTGTGTATGTATACACGTATATATACAGATGTATAACATATGAACTTTTCACAAGGAACATGATTACATGATGCACTGTATGCTGGTATTAATTATTTGCATGAGAGACACAGAGCAGCCTTTCGGTAAAGCTGCACAGATTAACAGCGCTAGTGAAATAATTGTAATCAGCTCAGAAAAGACAGCTTCAGTAACATTTCAAAATCAAAAGCCTAATTGAATTTCATTGTGAACATTTAATGATATTATTTTCTTCAATTTTGATTTTTACTATGAAATAACAATCTATTAATGAGCTGTGATATTTGATGCTGTGTACAGAACTTTTCGGAGACCGTTTGATGATATCTTTTACTGTTTATAGCCTCCCCCAACACTGCCCAAAGGAAAATTCTCAGACCTATTCATAGACTTTGTTGAAAAATGGTGAGTCGAATTGTTTAGCATATAAAAACATGTATGATAATTATGGTACATTAACGTATGATGACCTTATCGATGATGTTAATTTTATACGTATATTCATTGTACATTTTCTAACCACTTAATGTTATTTTTAACAGTTTGAAGAAGAAGCCATCAGACAGGGCAGATCTTCAATCATTAATGGTAAGACTAGATTTCATGTGTAACATCCTCAAGGATCAATCATAAATTGGGAAGCCAACTTTACACATAAAACTTTTACAATGACATACGGTATTCCTCTTCCAGTACAAAAGTGTAAGTTTAAATGTAAAACCAGTTATATATGATAAATCCCTTTTAAGAGTACTAAAATGTAATAGAACCAATACATGTAAACTATGATTTTCAGTTAAACATGGTGAAAGAACTCATAAGGAATTAATATCTGTCTATGACCTTTGTATGCTGTAACTGCTAAATAAACCATTACTAATCTATCTGCTGTGTAATGTCAGTCTAGCTGTATGTAACATCTGTGTGCTAATTAAACCACTACTTATCTGTCTTTCTGTTACATCTGCCTGTCTGTCTGTGACCTTTGTGTGCTAACCAAACCTTTACCTGTGTGTCTGTGACCTCTATGTGCTAACCAAACCTTTACCTGTCTGTCTGTGTGTCTGTGACTTTTGTGTGCTAACCAAACCTTTACCTGTCTGTCTGTGTGTCTGTGACTTTTGTGTGCTAACCAAACCTTTACCTGTCTGTCTGTGTGTCTGTGACTTTTGTGTGCTAACCAAACCTTTACCTGTCTGTCTGTGTGTCTGTGACTTTTGTGTGCTAACCAAACCTTTACCTGTCTGTCTGTGTGTCTGTGACTTTTGTGTGCTAACCAAACCTTTACCTGTCTGTCTGTGTGTCTGTGACTTTTGTGTGCTAACCAAACCTTTACCTGTCTGTCTGTGTGTCTGTGACTTCTGTGTGCTAACCAAACCTTTACCTGTCTGTCTGTGTGTCTGTGACTTTTGTGTGCTAACCAAACCTTTACCTGTCTGTCTGTGTGTCTGTGACCTCTATGTGCTAACCAAACCTTTACATGTCTGTTTGTCTGTGACCTCTATGTGCTAACCAAACCTTTACATGTCTGTCTGTATGTCTGTGACCTCTATGTGCTAACCAAACCTTTACCTGTCTGTCTGTGTGTCTGTGACCTCTATGTGCTAACCAAACCTTTACCTGTCTGTGTGTCTGTGACCTCTATGTGCTAACCAAACCTTTACATGTCTGTCTGTCTGTGACATCTGTGTGCTAACCAAACCTTTACATGTCTGTCTGTCTGTGACATCTGTGTGCTAACCAAACCTTTACATGTCTGTCTGTATGTCTGTGACCTCTATGTGCTAACCAAACCTTTACATGTCTGTTTGTCTGTGACCTCTATGTGCTAACCAAACCTTTACATGTCTGTGTGTCTGTGACCTCTATGTGTAACTAAACCTTTACCTGTCTCTCTGTCTGTGACCTCTGTGTCTTAACCAAATGTTTACCTGTCGTCTGTCTGTGACCTTAGTGTGTTAACCAAACCTTTACCAGTCTGTCTGTCTATTACAGAGCCACCCATTTGTCACACGGTCAGAGGAGGAAGTCATGGACATTGGGAATTGGGTGTGTAAGGTAATGAACATCAAGCCGGAGCAGAAGAATAGTTAAGCACCAAGCAGCATTCCAGGCCAGCCATATATCTTAGTGGTTCTACCCCTCCAATCAGTCAGGCATACCGGAGTAACTTCAGTTAGAGCTTTGGAAAATGTTTTAACTTGAAATTGATAAATTCCAAACCTTTCCCTTCTCAGACGTGATAAATGTATAATGTAATACTATCAATAGAATATTGTAAGCAATATTTACTTTTTTAATGTATATGTACAATATCTGAAAGCTCTTCAACCAATGGGCATTACTCAAATTGTAAGGATTCTATTTTACTGATTATAAAGAAAATTTTCTACCTACGCAAGTTACTTCAGAAGCAATGTAAAATACAGTGAGAATGAGTAAACTATGGATAGATCTGACTCCAATAGGACGAGTATTTAGATATAGAGGAGGAGCAATGTGTTCATACCATTTGTATGTAGTCTATTTATTTATATGACCCTATCACACAAACATCATGTATTTTGAGCACAGATTTCACATTTAAGTAATTTATATTTTTGGCTATGATAGTGTGATTTTTAGATTTTTTTTTTCTGAGAGTTTTCACTGAAGTTAGTGAGCTGTTGTGTAATTGTCTAAATGTGTGTTTTACAGAGAGGTATATCGTTAAGGTTATCAAACAAGCTGACCTTGTTATGGATCTAATATATGGAATAATATTATTTACCATAATCATGTTAATACATATAAACATATAGAAACATAAAAAAAAATTATTATTGTCTTTACTCTTAAGACTATTGAGTTCATTTATGATGATCATTATGTTAGTATACTTGATGTCAGCTAGTAGTCTCCCTTGCACATCTGAATTAGATGAATTAGAAGGAATTAAGCCTGCATTTATTCAGCATTGTTAATATCAGAAATGTTTTCAAAAAGCAAAGTGTTTACTCATGATGTCACAAGATTGGGACTAATTTAATGAATTTTATCTGTGTGTATATGTACCATTGAAAGATTTATTAAAATTTTCTGTGATTGTCTGTTTATAAATATTTTCATAGGCCCATCTTAAGATGGAAAGAATGATGTTTCCTTCTTGGCTATCCATTAGGGATGGGTATCGCCAAAAATTTTGTATCGTGATATATCACTTTTTTCCCCAAAATATCACAATAATATCATGATCTCAATGATTTTAAATGAATAGTCATTATTTTTCTTTAAAATATGCTAGAAAAACAAAATTTCGCTCTTGAATTTTTTATGTACCTAAAATTAATCATGTTTGATTGGTAAGATGCAGTTCTTTTCACCTTTTACAACATTTTTTAGACTTTCTGTAATTGAAGATTGAACAAATAAATGAACAATTTCTGGACTTTCTAATATGTACCTAAATACCGTGTGTCACGCAATAACAAATCGTTATACCGATAAAATAGCACATCTCTGCTATCCCTTTGTCTTTTTGTTCGATTTTTCATGTAAAATACAGTAAATACGCTTCATTTTACTACGATGCACGAAATATTGCACAATGAAAACCTCAGTTGACCCCGTAAATAAAAAAGGCGTAGACTTGACAATTTTAAATTTAATACAAATAATGTACACAACCAGACAGATTTGCAATATGTGAATGAAAAAAAATATTCTGTTGAAAATTAAAATCTGAGAGTTTAGGCAAAAAAAATTAATTTCTTGGTTCTCAGGCCCTCCCTCATCTCTTCCAACGGTGCCTCATTGACCCTTTTTATTGCCATATCAATAAAATAAAACACCAAATCACCTCCCTCATCATTTTTTGAGGTTTTGTACAATGTAAAAAGCTGCCTCATCATGTTTTGTCCATGATGAAAGGTTTTAAAATGAAGCAAAATACCAAGGAAGAGACCTTTCAGGTTGTTTATAATCTGTGTCTCCTTTTCTTGGTAGCCTCCCCTAACAGAGTGACCTCCCCTTTACAGACAGTCATGCTGTTGTGGCCATGCTTCTCACCCCTCATTCCACATGGCTTCAGTAATGTTTTATTTTGCTTGCCACGTGACCGTGGACTTGACTCTAAGTTTGTGATCATTCTGTGCTTGTTTTATGCATTTTAGGCTCAGACAGAAATAGTTTTAGCTTTCCTGGCCCGCCGGGCATATGGCCATTTTTGAGCTTTTAGATTATATTGTTAATGAGGTATGTGTAGGAGAGCAGTCTGAAGTGGTTTTACTGATAACGTAAATAATAACAATCTCTGTGTCATCTGTTAATGTTGTAACTAATGTAGTTCATAGAATTAATAATACCACATGCAGTGTTACTTTGATAGAAACGGAATACATTTTAATGAGAAGTGTAAGTGTAGGTATGTTCCAAGTTTAAATGACATTATCTGGTACTAAGCATCAACCTTTTAAGTCAAGTTGCTCCTCAAACAATGGTTTACCCATTTTTTTTGTTTAACTGCACCAAAACTTTTAATTTTGAATGTCTATACATGCTTTTCTTGAAGAATTGTGTATTTTTGCCATGGAACTGATAAACAACACACACACAATTAGTTTTTCTTTACTGGATCAATTTTCTTTTCAATGAATCAAATAAATACAATTTAAATGTATCAAGAAAGACATGACATATTAGTTAAATTTACTGTAGACGTACTTTTTTCCACGGGGTCATAATTCCACGGAATATCAATTTCTGTTTAATCCGCGGGTAGAAAATTACGCGGATTTCTTCAACTGTCACTATATGCCTTACATTTATATTAAGTACGCATGGACAAATTTCCGCGGAAAGATTGTGACCGGGTACATAGCGTAAATTAATACCGCACGAAAAAAAGTTCTTCTACAGTATTATAATACAGAGGAAAATTTAAATGAAAAACAGTATTTTTTTTTCTTTTTTGGTATAAGAGAATTATTTTGGCTTCAAATTTTTTACACATGTAGTTTTAGTGAGTAATTTTGTTCTTTTAAGCATTTATTTCCTAAAGTCATTAATTTAACTGGAAGTTTTTATTTATTTACAGTAGTTTGTTCTTTCACAAATATAAGCAAAGCACAAAGTGTGTATTTCGAAGCACTTTCTAAAATACTGATTTTGAAACAAAACAATTTTTGTTTGTCACATTATACTTTTTGTTGTTTTTCCCCTTGGTTTATTTATTGTGCTTTTGGTATGATTTTAAATTATACATGTTGTTAAGTGCATTTTTTAATGACATCCCTATTTACCACAGGTAATTTTGGCATGGAAAGTATATGTATGTAACCATACATGTATCTATAAATAATATCCCACGCAAATCTTTATTTAACGGAGAAGAATAGTACATGTTGTGTATGTATACACGTATATATACAGATGTATAACATGTGAACTTTTCACAAGGAACATGATTACATGATGCACTGTATGCTGGTATTAATTATTTGCATGAGAGACACAGAGCAGCCTTTCGGTAAAGCTGCACAGATTAACAGCGCTAGTGAAATAATTGTAATCTGCTCAGAAAAGACAGCTTCAATAACATTTCAAAATCAAATCAAAAGCCTAATTGAATTTCATTGTGAACATTTGATAATATTATTTTCTTCAGTTTTGATTTTTACTATGAAATAACAATCTATTAATGAGCTGTGCTATTTGATGCTGTGTACGGACTTTCTGGAGACCGTTTGATGATATCTTTTACTGTTTATAGCCTCCCCCAACACTGCCCAAAGGAAAATTCTCAGACCTATTCATAGACTTTGTTGAAAAATGGTGAGTCTAATTGTTTAGCATACAAAAAAATGTATAATAATTATGGTACATTAACGTATGATGACCTTATTGATGATGTTAATTTTATACGTATATACATTGTACATTATCTAACCATTGAATGTTATTTTTAACAGTTTGAAGAAGAAGCCATCAGACAGGGCAGATCTTCAGTCATTAATGGTAAGACTAGATTTCGTGTGTAACATCCTCAAGGACCAATCATAAATTGGGAAGCCAACTTTACACATAAAACTTTTACAATGACATATAGTATTCCTCTTCCAGTACAAAAGTGTAAATAGTGTAAATTTAAAGGTAAAACCAGTTATATATGATAAATCCCTTTTAAGAGTACTAAAATATAATTGAACCAATACATGTAAACTATGATTTTCAGTTAAACATGGTGAAAGAACTCATAAGGAATCAATATCTGTCTATGACCTTTGTATGCTGTAACTGCTAAATAAACCATTACTAATCTACCTGCTGTGTAATGTCAGTCTAGCTGTATGTAACATCTGTGTGCTAATTAAACCACTACTTATCTGTCTTTCTGTTACATCTGCCTGTCTGTCTGTGACATCTGTGTGCTAACCAAACCTTTACCTGTCTGTCTGTGTGTCTGTGACCTCTATGTGCTAACCAAACCTTTACCTGTCTGTCTGTGTGTCTGTGACTTTTGTGTGCTAACCAAACCTTTACCTGTCTGTCTGTGTGTCTGTGACTTTTGTGTGCTAACCAAACCTTTACCTGTCTGTCTGTGTGTCTGTGACTTTTGTGTGCTAACCAAACCTTTACCTGTCTGTCTGTGTGTCTGTGACTTTTGTGTGCTAACCAAACCTTTACCTGTCTGTCTGTGTGTCTGTGACTTTTGTGTGCTAACCAAACCTTTACCTGTCTGTCTGTGTGTCTGTGACTTTTGTGTGCTAACCAAACCTTTACCTGTCTGTCTGTGTGTCTGTGACTTCTGTGTGCTAACCAAACCTTTACCTGTCTGTCTGTGTGTCTGTGACTTTTGTGTGCTAACCAAACCTTTACCTGTCTGTCTGTGTGTCTGTGACTTTTGTGTGCTAACCAAACCTTTACCTGTCTGTCTGTGTGTCTGTGACTTCTGTGTGCTAACCAAACCTTTACCTGTCTGTCTGTGTGTCTGTGACCTCTATGTGCTAACCAAACCTTTACCTGTCTGTCTGTGTGTCTGTGACTTCTGTGTGCTAACCAAACCTTTACCTGTCAGTCTGTGTGTCTGTGACCTCTATGTGCTAACCAAACCTTTACATGTCTGTCTGTGTGTCTGTGACCTCTATGTGCTAACCAAACCTTTACCTGTCTGTCTGTGTGTCTGTGACCTCTGTGTGCTAACCAAACCTTTACATGTCTGTTTGTCTGTGACCTCTGTGTGCTAACCAAACCTTTACATGTCTGTGTGTCTGTGACCTCTATGTGCTAACCAAACCTTTACATGTCTGTGTGTCTGTGACCTCTATGTGCTAACCAAACCTTTACCTGTCTGTCTGTCTGTGACCTCTATGTGTAACTAAACCTTTACCTGTCTCTCTGTCTGTGACCTCTGTGTCTTAACCAAACGTTTACCTGTCTGTCTGTGACCTTAGTCTGTTAACCAAACCTTTACCAGTCTGTCTGTCTATTACAGAGCCACCCATTTGTCACACGGTCAGAGGAGGAAGTCATGGACATTGGGAATTGGGTGTGTAAGGTAATGAACATCAAGCCGGAGCAGAAGAATAGTTAAGCACCAAGCAGCATTCCAGGCCAGCCATATATCTTAGTGGTTCTACCCCTCCAATCAGTCAGGCATACCGGAGTAACTTCAGTTAGAGCTTTGGAAAATGTTTTAACTTGAAATTGATAAATTCCAAACCTTTCCCTTCTCAGACGTGATAAATGTATAATGTAATACTATCAATAGAATATTGTAAGCAATATTTACTTTTTTAATGTATATGTACAATATCTGAAAGCTCTTCAACCAATGGGCATTACTCAAATTGTAAGGATTCTATTTTACTGATTATAAAGAAAATTTTCTACCTACGCAAGTTACTTCAGAAGCAATGTAAAATACAGTGAGAATGAGTAAACTATGGATAGATACTCCAATAGGACGAGTATTTAGATATAGAGGAGGAGCAATGTGTTCATACCATTTGTATGTAGTCTATTTATTTATATGACCCTATCACACAAACATCATGTATTTTGAGCACAGATTTCACATTAAGTAATTTATATTTTTGGCTATGATAGTGTGATTTTTAGATTTTTTTTCTGAGAGTTTTCACTGAAGTTAGTGAGCTGTTGTGTAATTGTCTAAATGTGTGTTTTACAGAGAGGTATATCGTTAAGGTTATCAAACAAGCTGACCTTGTTATGGATCTAATATATGGAATAATATTATTTACCGTAATCATGTTAATACATATAAACATATAGAAACATAAAAAAAATTATTATTGTCTTTACTCTTAAGACTATTGAGTTCATTTATGATGATCATTATGTTAGTATACTTGATGTCAGCTAGTAGTCTCCCTTGCACATCTGAATTAGATGAATTATAGAAAGAATTAAGCCTGCATTCATTAAGCGTTGTTAATATCAGAAATGTTTTCAAAAAGCTAAGTGTTCATGATGTCACAAAATTGGGACTAATTTAATGAATTTTATCTGTGTGTATATGTACCATTGAAAGATTTATTAAAATTTTCTTCAAAATTAGTGATTGTCTGTTTATAAATATTTTCATAGGCCCATCTTAAGATGGAAAGAATGATGTTTCCTTCTTGGCTATCCATTAGGGATGGGTATCGCCAAAAATTTTGTATCGTGATATATCACCATTTTTTCCCCAAAATATCACAATAATATCATGATATTTTTACGAGGAATTTATACAATGATTTTAAATGAATAGTCATTATTTTTCTTTAAAATATGCTAGAAAAACAAAATTTCGCTCTTGAATTTTTTATGTACCTAAAATTAATCATGTTTGATTGGTAAGATGCAGTTCTTTTCACCTTTTACAACATTTTTTAGACTTTCTGTAATTGAAGATTGAACAAATAAATGAACAATTTCTGGACTTTCTAATATGTACCTAAATACCGATATTTAGGTCTCCGATACATATCACGCAATAACAAATCGTTATACCGATAAAATAGCACATCTCTGCTATCCCTTTGTCTTTTTGTTCGATTTTTCATGTAAAAACAGTAAATATGCTTCATTTTACTATGATGCACGAAATATTGCGCAATGAAAACCTCAGTTGGCCCCCTTAAATAAAAAAGGTGAAGACTTGACAATTTTAAATTTATTTCAAATAATGTACACAACCAGACAGATTTGCAATATGTAAATGAAAAAAAAATTCTTCCAACGTTGAAATTAAAACACCAAATCACCTCCCTCATCATTTTTTGAGGTTTTGTAATTTATCATGTTTTGTAAAAAAAAAAAAAAATAATAAGGAAACAAAATTAATTTTGCATGGCCTTACTGGTAAAAAAAAAATTATTAAGGAAACAAATAAAATGCATCTTTGCTAGCCAAGTGATTTTGGTCCACTCTGGTCTGTTTAAGGGTGGGGGGGTGGACTGAAAACTCGAGGCTAGCAAAGATGATAAAATGAGGCAGTCAAATAAAAAAATGTCACTATTTAAAAACAAACTTAGTTAGAATGCATCTGTATGAAATAAATACACAAAACACATTTTTGACAGAAATACACAGACATTTTAAAATAACAATAAAAAAAATTATAAATTATTATTCTAAGTTTAACAAACTAGCTCAGTAGTCTGAGATACAATAATAAACACATAGCTACTTTGGCACAAAAAACCTAAAATTCATTTATATGGAATTTCTATATACATAATACTGCAAATTATGTTAACACTTGAAAATAAGTACATGTACTCAATGTATTAGACAAAACATATTATAATCAGGAATTCCCCTGTCTAGTTAGCTTACACCTCAGCTCTGATGGTGTGAAAATTTGATCGGATGAGACATACACTGGGGGTATAGGGTCAGAGATTGTGCTAGCAATTTAGGTACAAGTAAGCACTATAATTGTTTGGAACAAATTAAGCTACATGTATCTAAGCTTATCTTCACAAATTTTTTCCATCAATGTTTTAAATTAATGTATTGCTTCATCGTGTAAAGTTCCGGGAAAATGTGTATATTGCACCACTTTGACTGAAGTTTCATTAAAATGAAGATAATATGATGAGACATTAGAAATGTTGAAAATTGACTAGATGAACACATGGAGCAAAGGAGCCCCCATTCTCTCTCTCTCTTTCTCTCTCACACACACACACACAAGCACACAAACAATACAAAATCTTGTGTCCTTAGAAAAAGAGAAAAAATGTCCCAACTAGTATGATTATTGTTCTGCAAGAGAAGATCACTCCTGCACTGCTATTGCCTGCAAGAGAAGGAAGTCATTTAGTGGTTGAAACTCAGATAAAAGCATAGAGGTTTCTAGGCACCTTAATATAGAATGAATCAGTCATTGTCTGTTTTTCACTTTAATTATACACATCCCTCTTAGTCAATAATTTCGATGAAATGACTTGTGTGAAATAACTTGTCTAGTTTTAATATTGGAATTGAATTAACCATGCCTTTCCCTATCTAAAATGATAGCCTGGTAAAGGATTAAAAAAATAAGGCACAAGAGTATGCTAAGGATTTAGAGGCTCAGAATCTGTGTATGAATTGACTGATACCTTGATCTCCGGGTGAATTGACTTCGTATGGAGGACCCGAGGTCACTAGCGGTTTGTATGAGGAGGTGATCGGCGGTGTTGTGGTGGTGGATGGTGACTTGGTTGTAGATTGTGTCAGGGGAGGTGAGGGTGGGGACTTCTTTGTGGATGAGGATTGGGTTGGGGAGGTGGAGGTTCCCGTGGTTGGATCCGTGGATGGACTAGTGGTGGATTCTGTGGTGGTGGATGTGGTTGTAGGAGAGGCAGTGGTGGTGGTGGTTGTGGTTATCTCTACAAAAAAACAAACAATACATAGCAGAATTATAATGTACTCGATGAGAAAAAATATTGAACAAAGGCAAATTGACATAATGCGCTACATTTCAGGTTTTTTATTAGCTCACCTGAGCCAAAGGCTCAAGTGAGCTTTTCTGATCAAAATTTGTCCGTTGTCTGTCGTAGTTGTCATTGTCGTCGTTGTTGTAAACTTTTCACATTTTCATCTTCTTCTCAAGAACCACTGGGCCAATTTCAACCAAACTTGCTACAAAGGAATATTTAGGAAAAATCTTTAAAAAATCTTTATATAACTGGGCCATTTTTTTGAAACTCATGTGGAATCATCCTCAGGTAGTGAAGATTCAAATTTGATCAAATCATGACCTCTGGGGATAGGGTTGGGCCAAAATGGCTGATCAAAGTTTTAAATAGGAATATATAGGAAAAATCTTTAAAAATCTTCAACTCAAGAACCACTAGGCCAGGAAAGATGAAACTCATGTGGAATCATCCTCAGGTAGTGAAGATTCAAGTTTGATTAAATCATGACCCCCAAGGGAAGGGTGGGGCCAAATGGCCGATAAAAGTTTTACATAGGAATATATAGGGAAACCTTTTAAAATCTTCTTTTCAAGTACTTCAAAGCCATGCTTAGTGATATTTATAGGGAATCAACCTCAGGTAGTGTAGATTCTAGTTTGTTTAAATGGCTAAAAAATTGCTTTCCCTATATAATCCTATAGCCCCCCAACCTCAGTTAGCTTTCAGTTCTGATCTGTTATGTGCTTTTTCCCTAGCCAATTGCTCAGGTGAGCGATGTGGCCCCTGGGCCTCTTGTTTTAAATAAGGTTAAATTCTTTGATTTAAATCATTTTAATTTACTGTTCAACTGAAGTACATGTACTACCTCAGTAGCATAATCAATGTTGGAATTTTCTGTAAGGTACTACATTTTTTTGAGAACAGTGTTTGACTACAGAAAAAAAGACAGTAAGAGACTTTTTAAGAATATAAGCCTCCATGCAGGCACTGACCATGTAATGTGACATTGCCAGTTGCCTCCCCATACTTGTTCTCGGCCACACAGTAGTAGATCCCGAACCCCGAGGGAGGTTCAGCCTGTTTGATGACGAGGTTCATGACGGTCGTCGTGGAGTTCTGCTGGAGGTTCTGGGGGTTGTAGTTCCAGTCCCTCACCAGTCTCTTGTCGTCTTTCCTCCAGTAATACTCGGGTTTGGGGAAGCCCACCACGGAACACTCTAACACAGCACTCCTACCAGATTTCTGAGATAATTCTGGGGTTTTTACGGTGATTGTTGGTGCATCTGAAAAAGATGAACATTATCAAATTGATACAAGCTAGAGGGTCCTAAGTTCAAATCCCAGTAGAAATTTAATTTTTCTCCACCTGTGACAATACCAGTGCATTTATATGTCAAACAGGTGAAAGATGTTGGTAACTTGTAATAATAATTTAATAAAAGTTTAATTACCAAAAAGAAGCACATAATTTATTTTCATTCAGCTTACTAGTTACTTACATTCGACGTCCATCCTGATATCGTGAGTGGCACTAGGGGTGACGGTATTATAAGCTGTACATCTGTAGATACCAGTCTGTTCTCTGCTGATGTTGGATATTGACAATTGTGGTCCGGTATCAAGTTCTGTAAAACAGAAACATGTATTATAGCAAAGACACCAGAATGATGCAAATTTAAAAGTGATAGAAAATTTCGAAGAATAATCAAGCCTTTTTTCACCTTAGTAATGTTAATTTCATTTAAAGAGCTAATATATCAGTGACAGAATTATTTCTAACGTGTTTCTGTGTTGCCTCTGATAAAATGCCACATGATTTTGGGTTCTGGGAATCCTGTAGCGTGACAGGTGATATTGACGTCAGTCCCCTCCTGTACCTGTTTGTCACCACTGGACAAGGTCGGGAGGATCCGAGGGGCCACTGTAAATGAACATTAAAACAATACTTATATCAACAGTTCTAGTTATTTATAAGTAATGGTTGGCCAATTATTAACAGTTCTAGTTATTTATAAGTAATGGTTTGCCACATCAACAGTTCTAGTTATCTATAAGTAACGGTTAGCCATATCAACAGTTCTAGTTATTTATAAGTAATGGTTTGCCATATCAACAGTTCTAGTTATCTATAAGTAATGGTTAGCCATATCAACAGTTCTAGTTATTTATAAGTAATGGTTTGCCATATCAACAATTCTTGTTATTTATAAGTAATGGTTGGCCATATCAACAGTTCTAGTTATTTATAAGTAATGGTTAGCCATATCAACAGTTCTAGTTATTTATAAGTAATGGTTAGCCATATCAACAGTTCTAGTTATTTATAAGAAATGGTTTGCCATATCAACAATTCTTGTTATTTATAAGTAATGGTTGGTCATATTAACAGTTCTAGTTATTTATAAGTAATGGTTAGCCATATCAACAGTTCTAGTTATTTATAAGTAATGGTTTGCCATATCAACAATTCTTGTTATTTATAAGTAATGGTTGGCCATATCAACAGTTCTAGTTATTTATAAGTAATGGTTGGCCATATCAACAGTTCTAGTTATTTATAAGTAATGGTTTGCCATATCAACAATTCTTGTTATTTATAAGTAATGGTTGGTCATATTAACAGTTCTAGTTATTTATAAGTAATGGTTTGCCATATTAACAGTTCTAGTTATTTATAAGTATTGGTTAGCCATATCAACAATTCTTGTTATTTATAAGTAATGGTTGGCCATATCAACAGTTCTAGTTATTTATAAGTAATGGTTGGCCATATCAACAGTTCTAGTTATTTATATGTAATGGTTAGCCATATCAACAGTTCTAGTTATTTATAAGTAATGGTTTGCCATATCAACAATTCTTGTTATTTATAAGTAATGGTTGGTCATATTAACAGTTCTAGTTATTTATAAGTAATGGTTTGCCATATTAACAATTCTAGTTATTTATAAGTAATGGTTGGCCATATCAACAGTTCTAGTTATTTATAATTAATGGTTCGCCATATCAACAGTTCTAGTTATTTATAAGTAATGGTTGGCCATATCAACAGTTCTAGTTATTTATAAGTAATGGTTTGCCATATCAACAGTTCTAGTTATTTATAAGTAATGGTTTGCCATATCAACAATTCTTTTTATTTATAAGTAATGGTTGGTCATATTAACAGTTCTAGTTATTTATAAGTAATGGTTTGCCATATTAACAGTTCTAGTTATTTATAAGTAATGGTTAGCCATATCAACAGTTCTAGTTATTTATAAGTAATGGTTTGCCATATCAACAGTTCTAATAATTTATAATTAATGGTTGGCCTTATCAACAGTTCTAGTTATTCATAAGTAATGGTTGGCCATATCAACAGTTCTAGTTATTTATAATTAACGGTTCGCCATATCAACAGTTCTAGTTATTTATAAGTAATGGTTGGCCATATCAACAGTTTTAGTTATTTATAAGGTCTGGTGGGCCACATCAACAGTTCTGTAGTTATTTATAACTTACAGATAACTAGAACTCTTGAATTGGATTCACCATAACTTATAAATAACTAGAACTGTTGATATGGCCCACCATAACTTATAAATAACTAGAACTGTTGATCTGGATTCACCATAACTTATAATAACTAGTTCTATTGATATGTCCCTCCATAAACTTACAAATATATGGCCCATGCACTATTATACAATTATTGCTGTTTTTTTTAGGTCAATACGATGATTTAGGCACCTGAGGAGTATAATATTCACTGAGCCCGAAGGGCGAAGTGAATATAGTACTTCGAAGGTGGCTAAATCATTGTATTGACCGCAAAAAAACAGCAATAACTGTTTTACTATATGATTAAATGATAGCAAACTCCTACGAGACTGTTTCTTTGCTTTAATGGAAAGTTTTAACAAGAAATTTCAAAAAGAACACATTGTAACAGAAACCAGAAGTCTCTGTCGAGACTGTAGCTCTACTGGTTTATACTTAAAACAAAGGAAGAGAAAAGTAGCAGTTGGGACTTGAGACTTTAAATCAGCAATAAATAGAAAAATGATCCTTGCCACTCATCAAAATAAAAACCAATGCACAGAATTATGTATCTTAGTATAGTCTACTTGTGTGCCAAGTTATACTGAAATCAGACCAAAACTGCAGGAGGAGTAGCATTTTGAAAGAATTTCACAGAAATTTCTATTTTTAGTAACCATGGGCAACATTGTTCATTGAAATCAAAAACCGATGCACAGAATTATGTATCTTAGTGTAGTCTACTTGTTTGCCAAGTTATATCAAAATCAGACCAAAACTGTAGGAGGAGTAGCAATTTGAAAGAATTTCACAGAAATTTCTATTTTTAGTAACCACGGCAACACCGTTTATCGAAATCAAAAACCGATGCACAGAATTATGTATCTTAGTGTAGTCTACTTGTGTGCCAAGTTATACTGAAATCACCAAATCTGTAGGAGGAGTAGCATTTTGAAAGAATTTCAAAGAAATTTCTATTTGTAGTAACCACGGCAACACCGTTCATCGAAATCAAAAACCGATGCACAGAATTATGTATTTTAGTGTAGTCTACTTGTGTGCCATGTAATATTGAAATTGGACCAAAACTGTAGGAGGAGTAGCATTTTGAAAGAATTTCAAAGAAATTTCTATTTTTAGTAACCACGGCAACACCGTTCATCGAAATCAAAAACCGATGCAAAAAATTATGTAAGTGTAACTTTTGTGCCAAGTTATATTGAAATCAGACCAAAACTGTAGGAGGAGTAGCATTTTGAAAGAATTTCACAGAAATTTCTATTTTTAGTAACCACGGCAACACCGTTCATCGAAATCAAAAACCGATGCAAAAAATTATGTATCTTAGTGTAGTCTATTTGTGTGCCAAGTTTAATGGAAAGTTTTAATTGTTTACAGAAATTTCAAAAAGAACACATTGTAACAGAAAAAATTGAATAGGTCAATAATTCCTTATATTGACCTGCAATAATTCCTTGTATTGACCTGGAACGTCACGTGCAGGTCAATACAACGTATTATTTTTCTAACACAGTTGAATCTCAGCCAATCAGAGAGAAGGAAATTATTCAATCATATACTAAAATGTATTGACTAGAACTATTGATAGGGATACCGATCCCCAGTCCCCAACTAACACACGTTTTGATTGCTCTTCTAAGTGTACTGCTATTTTATTTAGTTGAGACCCATAATGAACACCGCCATTATTTTTGCTTATTTACTATCTGCATGTTCATTTTTACTCTAAGTTTTATTTCCACTGGAGATGCCAACCTTCACAAAAAAGCCCCACCCACTAATAAGCTATGGGCAGAGGACAACCAGACAAGGATCGACAGACAGATAAACGGACGAAAGGATAAAAACTATATATCCCAGAATCTTCGATTATGAAGCATAAAAAGAAACTTCTACTTGCTTTTGGTGAATGTCATACCGTATCTATGCAGGTTTTCTTGGCCGGTGTAAACTTTGGCGTTTTGCCTGCTCAAAGGTATGCCAATAATTTTGGCGTAATTTTTTTAGCGGACGCAGGATTCAGCTCTTTGCAGTTGGACACTAAGAAGAGTACTGACTATTTTAGCGATGAAAATTTTAGAGGACTGTCATCAAAACGCCAAAATTAGCACCCCGCTTAAATAACCCGCTATACGGTCATTACCACTCCAGCTGCATAAGAACCCAGCAGACTTGAAGTTTATCCCTGGGAGTACTCACCTTGAACTTGTAGTGTGATATTTTTGGTCAAGGTGACGGGGTATCTGACTTCACATTTATACACCCCGCTGTCCCCGATCTTGACGTTCCTAATGACGAGGTACCAGGAGTTAGAGTAAGGTCGCTTCAGACTAAAGCGGATATCAGAGGTGACTGGAGTCTCACCAAGAAACAAAACATTCATCTGTGGTCCAAACCACATCACCTGGAACAGAGATAGTATTGGTCATTATCTGGGCATTATCTCAATCTGGCTTAATTTATGGCTCAAAAACCGAAATAAACTGCTGGCTGCAGGGAAAATTAGAGAAGGGAATTGAATCTCTTACGCATGCAATTGTACAAAAGCTAACCAAGCCCGTATGTATTCAAATTTCGAGACAATTTTTATTTTTTATTATGAGAGTACATGTTTCAATTTACAATATATGATCCATAAGCACGTAGTATTTATTGTTTGGGGGGGGGGACTCAAACGTCCGCTTTCCAGGGGGTGGTGGGGGGGGGTCGAGGTTTAGGTTTCAACTTTCTTTTACAATCAAATTTATTTATATATGATCATATACAGGTATTAACAATATACCGTGATTTAACTTTATGGGGGCGAAAATAGAGGGGTTGAGGGCCAAGCAGACTTTCAATGAACGATTTCAAACGTAAAATGTTATGATATATCTGGAAAAACAATTTCATTACTGTCCACAATTTCCCATTTTCAAAAGGTGAGTTATTTCCCCTGAAAGGAACTCTTTTACTGTGTTTAATACGCATGCGCTATAAATAAAGTCACTTCCGCGGACGTTCTTGATGTAAACATGTTCATGGTGTAATGCCTCTGTCATATGGAAAAATGTTATTGTGTTTGTGAATAAAAAGAAATCTTAACTGATTCGTATTTTTTTTAAATTGCCCACTCATAGTCTCTTTCTGGATTTGTATTAATCTGTATAGAAGTATAATAAGGCACTGTGTAAGCCCCCCCCCCCCTTACAAAAAAAACGAAACAAATTACTGATAAAATGCTGATACATATTCGAATAGGCCTATTTAAAAAAAAATACAAAACAAAAGCTAATTTTCGGTAGTGGATGTTCTGCAGACGGATCATCATTATTTACAAAATGTGCAGATCAAATATAAGAATTTTTAGTTTTATTCTAATAATTTTTAATTTCCACAACTTTGGTTCATATTCAACTGTCCAATCCATTTACAAATTCGTTCTCTGTACCTGTACGCTCAAAACCCTCGTGCGTCACCTCAGTGTCAATCAAATTCGCATGAAAGTTGATTTGAAACATTCTAATGGTCAGTTCTGAGTTCAAGTGTGTAACACACTCAACTGACATCCAGCGAAATTCATCTTCCCGGTTTCACCACACCGCTTATTAAAAACTTACGTGTACTTTGTAAATTATCTTTTTAAAAACATAAATAAGATGTATCCCGTAGATTATACATGTAAGATTTTAAGAAAAAATTACAATAGTTAACGTACATTAAAATTGCAAATTTCTGATGAAGTTGTTTGCCAGCTAACAGGCAAGTAGCAACGGGGGGGGGGGGGGTCAAGGGGCCTAGCCCCACCCCCACTTTTTCCCCAATATTACTTTTTCTATTGAAAATGTTCGTTAAAAGACATGTTGCCACCCCCCCTTGCCACACACACAGTTTATACTACGGTAAAGTTATATAAGGGGAAATAAGTATTGTATGCCAAGGAACTGGTACTGAAATAAGTAGCTTTTTCGACTTTGGGCAAGGTTTTTCTTTGCTTGTCTACTTTTCTAGGTAAGAAAAAAATATTTCTTTGGCTGCCACCCCCCCCTTTTAAAGACGATGCTACGTGCCTGGCTAATTCGTATAGCTGTCTAGAAAGGGGGTGGGTGGGTAACAATACAATCGCTTATTATCTAAAAAAAATTGCAAACCGTTTCTTTCTTTTAAAATTTTTAAATGCAGCGTGTAAGTTGATCACTATTTTGTTGGATTTTTGTAATGCGTAGTCCGCGGAAGTTATGCTAGTGTAGAAGAGTTCCGATTTTGAGGGGAGATAACTCACTTTTGAAAATGGGGATACACTGTTTGTATAATGATTATGTTTAATCTTCAAGTTGTAAACAACTGCATACCGGTAGTTGACTTCACTGATCCATACACTTGCATGTATGTATGTATTTTATTATTTGTCTTTTTTATGTAACATGGTTGTATGCCAACATGTTTGGTGAATCAATAAAGAAATTGAAATTGAAATATAGAATAGCCCCCTTGGCGCTGAACATTCGTGTTCAAATTGTACAAATAAACAAACATATCTTAATTGATGTTTCAAATCCTTATTGATGTGAAAATCTCTGTATATATAATTTTTCTTTAGATTGATGTCTTTTTTTCTGCTGGGCATTACGGGGAATGTTTAAACACTTTTGACTAGAAGTATTGGAGTAAAAAATTGTCTTCAGTATATACGTATAAAATACCAGGGTATTTTCAGGGGGTGGGTGGGGTGTATGAATTATTTTAGTGATTTGATTGGGTAATTCCTAGTTTATCGGGTTGGTGGGGTGTATGAATTATTTTAGATATTTACTTGGCTGTTTCCCAGATTATCGGGGTGGGTGGGGGTATGAATTATTTTAGATATTTACTTGGCTGTTTCCCAGATTATCGGGGTGGGTGGGGGTATGAATTATTTCAGTGATTTACTTTGCTGTTTCCCAGATTATCGGGGTGGGTGGGTTGTATGATTTATTTTAGTGATTTACTTGGCTGCTTCCTAGATTCTCCACTGTGCAGGCCAGCGTTGTCGATCCCCCCGCCTTCACTAGTTGTTTGATTGGCGTCGTGTCCATCCATATCTCCCCTCGTGTACCTGAAATTTAATGTTCTCATGTTAAAACCGAAACCGGTCAAATATCGTAATCGTTTACTGCTCTTACTACATGTATAAGATATTATTTTGCCGAAAAGATTTTTTACAATTTGCTTTGTTAAAATTTAATTTTTTTAGCTTAAAAGTCATTATATTTTATGGAATATCGAATGAAAAATTATTAAAATTGTAAAAGCGATCATAATTTGATTTCATGTAGAACACATTAAGGATTGTTTTATCATGTTGTAAATTTTGAATTCACTAGAGGGGGGGGGGGGATGCAAAATTTACAACATAATAATTGTTATCATGTTGTAAATTTTGCATTTACCTCCCTCTCGTAAATTCAAAATTTACAACATGATAGTTTCCTAAAGCTGTCTATAGTGCAAACATTTAAGCTCTTTATAAAATGGTTTATAAACCAAAATGAGGCTGATATGTTACTCCCGATCAAAAAATATCAGAGTCCTTAATTAACAAACATTGACCGAATGCCGGGGTATTTTATTTACCTCAAAATTAGCTGATCAACTGTACAGAAGATTTGGGTTTTCTTCATTTGAATTTTTCTTTTTCTAATCAATAATAGGAATGCCCTCTTGAATATCGGACGTCCGGTAAATTTTGATTTTTGTGATGTACAGCAGTAATAAAGCTCATCAAATGTGTGTTTTCATTAATTTTCATTAGCAGCTTTTACAGAAGCTTGAGAGGGTTCGCCGGCTAGAGAGACATTGTCCTCTGATTTACATATTATCTGAATAGCATAAGACTCTCGGCGGGGAAGGACCCAACTCGTTTGATGAAATATGGGGGCGAACTGCTGATTAGAAATTAGCTACTATGCTCAAGAAATCTGGCGATGGAAAATTGAGAATAATCAGCTGATTTGCATATAAATGCAAAGGAAACAAAAAATATTGAATCCTTCATCAATGGACCACGGGGCAGTGAAATCCAGGCTGAAATACGACAGGTCTATAGATATGCATTCCATTTACATATATAGACTTGAATGCCAGTAAACAATTACTTTTATTTCATAGTTTACTTATTTCATAATTTATAATTACTTATTTCTAAATTCTAACCTTACTTTGACTAAGTTTTATAAGGACAGATGTCCCGTCTTTGTATTGAGTATTTTCATTGCGATATAGTGTTTGCCGACTGTTCACAAATCAATGATTCTTTCTGTTTTAGCTTTGGAATTACTCGAGTAATTGAAGGATTGGAATTAAATTGAAGGTTCTCCATGAAGTGATAAGGGACGGGGTCTGTCTTTCGGTGTAGTACTTTTATGGCTCATACATTTTTTCCTTATGCAGTTTTCAATATCAGTAGTAGCTACTATTCTACACTTCTATAGGTCTGGTCAGTCCAAGTCATTTCTCCAAATTGTGTAACTTCTATACAGAGAGAGAGAGAAATCTTTGTTTGTTGTGAATATTGATGAACAAGATACGACATCGTATACGAAGTCTAAAACACTAGCTACCCATTTGACCCGCAGGATAAATTGTAGTTTTATGTTTCTGTTTATACCTGTCAATATACATGATATATACAGGATGGTTATAGATAAATAGACATGTACCCAGGGGGATGGGTAATTATATAATCTTCCTTAACAAGATCTTCTGATGACAGATAATACATAATTAAAACCCATGGATTTGGGATTTTTATGGGATTGCAGCAATTTCTTAATGCTCGTCGTACCTCTTGTCTGCTGTTATTGTTAATAAATCACATAAATCTTTCTGGAATATTTTATACGTTAAGAACCCGTCTTCCACTTACTTTTTAACTTACAGGTTCCTTACTTGACTTACTATTTAAGTTATATAAATTATCGACAGTGTTAATTTAGTACATGTAAACACAATCGATTTTTTTCCGTATGATTATTGTACAAACGAGAACCTTTCCTTCACTGTGAGTCACACGAAATCTTGTTTTTCTAGTTCCACATCTGTAAATTTACTGATATATTTATCTGACCAACTACATACGCTGGAATTTTAGCCGTTCATATAGGGTTTTTACGATGCATTAAGAAAGTTGATCAACACGATAAGACGAAACGTAGGGGTCGGCGAAACTTTACATACCTGGTAGAAAACACAGCCATGTGATTAAAATAATTCCTCTAAACATCTCCAGACAAGAATTTAATAATTAGTAATCCTATGTGGCATAATTAAATTGGATTAACAATACAATCCAGTCGACAGTTTACATGGTTTATAATTTAAAACTTTTGTCGTGGTGTTTCATCAGCTGCTCTATTGGATCTGGCATTACCCCGATATTCGGCAGACCCTGTGTAAATCGTCCTGATAGACTACCCCGGGGGGCTGAGCGTGTTCTTCCTTCTGTAACACTGATCGGGACGTCACAGTACTCGCTATAAATCAACGACCTCGGTACAGTAGCAGCTATTATAGTCAGTTGGTTGTGTACTGTGGTGAATTACTGACAGACGACAGTCACACTAACTCTCTATCGATCTCTGCAGCAGTTTGAGATTCAGTGTTACACGACACCACTATTGATTACATCAAAAACAATAGCATCATGCCATCACTTCATCCGAAAAATACCTCCAACATTTTACATTGGTACATACACACAGAGAGATACTTCCGGTTCGCATAGCGCACCTGTTTTCGTGAGCACTGATCCGCAACAAAAACCAAAGCGAAACTCAATATGAAGCACGATAACTTACTTTTTACAATTTTGAAGCGTTAAATCACATTATTTACGTAACAAACTGGCTGATGACAACGTCAGCGGTCACAGAACTGTATATGTAATTATTTTATGATAATAAAAGAATTTGATTATATTCCCATGTACCATGTTAACAGGGTTAAGGAAGTTTACTTCATCTTCCCTGTTCAAGAGGATGTCAAATTATATATTGACGTATTTATCCTTGTTTCAAAGTTTAAAAGTAAATATATCAGTCCATGTGATACAAAAGTTTTAATTAAATTCTAACACGACAGAAATCTAATTCTAAATTTGAGTTTTCATATGTTTGAATATAAAACATGTACGAAATTACAATACATATCTATTTCTCAAACAAATATGTAAACAGACCATTTTCAGAACACGATTTTTCATTGTCCGTCAGATTAAATTTGATGTTTTGACTATTTTCAACACAATTCAAAGCAGATCTGGCAATTTTTCCTCAAATTCAAATTTGAAACTTTGATAGATATATTTAGACGAAATTCCTTCAATATAAATCATTGAAACGGAACAAAATGCAAGCTTGATCTAATTATAACTCATCAAGGAAAACTCAACAAATTCAGCCCAATAATTGAAAACGTTTAGGGGGAAATGCTGAAAACCGTTAAAAATTGAAAATGTAGTAATTCCGTCAAAATCATTTAAGCGGAACAAAATCATGCTAATTTGATGATTGAACCAATTTGGAAAATTGATAGAAAGTCAGAGGAACCGCTAGACAGACAGATGGACAGACAAGAAGAAAAACTGTACCCCTCCGATTTCACCGGTATAGGTATAATAATAGACGTTTTGATCACATGTGTGCAGCCAGCACATGTGGCTAGACGGATGTCATTGCTAAATGTAGGTTCGAGAATATTGCAATACCGGTCTTGTAAATCTCTCGCGGGATACTGAATCAATTATTTCTAAAATATAACCTAACAAGATGTATTTGAGAATCTCCAAGGTCAAAAGGTCGAATTTGGTGGTACCCAAACAGTGGCGGATCCAGAAATTTTGAAAAGGGGGGGCCCGACCAGTTTGAGGTCAAGGTAGGGGCCCACAGCCACACGAAAAAAACATTGATTTATCAAATATTATGTATTTTTTTGGATCCGCCAGTGCCAAAGAAAGGTCTTGTCACAAGGATATATATGTGTAAGTCATAGCTCCACAAAACCAAAAGTTATGGGCAAGGTTAAGACAAACAGACAGCTAGACAGACGGACGGACGCGACAAAAACTATAGACCCCCGAAACTTCGTTGGGGCAGAAAAAAACATATAAACTTCGTTAAGGCATAAAAAAAGAATATATATTTTTACGGGTAAAGTCTTACCGAGCATTTGGGTTTTATGGTTTACCTTTTCTGGAACTCTTCAATATTGAAAACAACAAAAAGATGGCGGATGAGAACGACGATTTTCTCAAACCAAAGCACATAAAATTCTTTGAGCGATGCTTGCAAATACTTCCCAGTAGATATAGTTCGCTTGACACAAATAGGTAACCATTAACAATCCTTCAAATATATACACATTGGAGAATATCATATGTATGTTGTGGTACTTTACCGCTGACGATACAATTATGACTGGGCTATCCTGATTTACCAAGTCAGGCAAGTGTTCACACCATTAATTCATATTGGCAAGAACAGTTACACTTTGTCGAATCATCGACTTCCTTGAAAAAAAAAATCTCAGACCTGCCTCGTACTATGTAGATAACTATCTTATCAACGTAGATAGATCTATTTGTTTCTTTTGAAGTTTTTGTTATTGAAAATACATGGTCTTTCTATTATCATGATTATATATGGATTTTTTTCTTCAAACTAGATATTTTTGGTCATATGAGTGTGATCACTTATACTTGGTCTCCTTCAAGCAGGGGACCTGGTTAATGCCCCTCATACTCTTAGGAACATTAACCAGGTCTCTTACAATTAATCATAGGTTATTTTAGATAGAATATTCTATCTTAAAATGATATTGTCCTACGGACCGGGTTAACAACTGTGGAGAGGGCTTGTACAAAGACAGATTATTCTAACTAAAGTTATTTAACATGGTGCCAAGTCAAAAAGTGTATGTTTATTGCAGTCAGCCTCTAGCATGGTGGAGTAAGGTGACCTATTAGTGCTTTATGTATTTTCTTACATCTGCATACATTGTTTCCTAGCTTTTGGACAAAATAAACTTGTTCTTTTGAACCACTGAACCAATATTTCAACCAAGTTTGGCATATCAGTATTCACCTCACTCAGTGCATGAAGGGGTAGAATAATTGTAAATTTATAGCCCCTGCTCCCTGAGTTTGGGCTCAAACCATAAATACTGTATACAGGGAAATTTTCGCCCACGTTTTATTTTCGCCCCTTTCGCCCTACCCTCATTTGGGCGAATTTAAAACGGGGCGAATTCAAAGAATACTGTATAATTTCTTAAACAAAATTATGACTGGGCGAATTTAAAACAAGGCAAAATTGTTTGCAAGTATGAAAGGGTGAAAATAACACGGGGCGATAATAACCATGTATACAGTATTAAATGACCTCAATGATTGTTGATTTCATTTTCAGGATGACGATTGCGTTTTTCGCCTTATCTGGTCTTGATCTTCTCAATGCATTGGACAAAATAAAAAAAGACAAAGACAGAATTGTTCAGTGGATTTATTCCTTGCAGATTATTCCAAATGAAGATGGTAGATCTATAATGTTTCTAATTTAAATATTTTAAATTTGTAACAATGTTTTTATCTTCTGTGCATTTCTCAATAGTAAATTACTGAAAATTAATGAAATTTACAGAATCCAATATTTGTCAGTGTGGATTTCGAGGATCATCAACTAATGCAGTCAAAGATTCTCAGGTAATGACATTCAATTTACTAATTTCTTACTGCACAATATATTAATATAAACATTAAAGAGGAATTGGTAACATATATGTGCTGATTCTGTCTTATCATTAGATAATTAAGAGAACATGATCTTTATTGACCAAATTATTCAGATTATGAAAACATTGAAACTGCAGATGAATTTAGTTATCTAAATCATGGATATCTTTACTGGATGTCCCAAACACCTTTTCTCGATGTATATAAATCAATCCAAACTCCATCAATTACATATTCAATGGTATCCTCTGTAGGATTTTTTTATTTATCCACCTGAACAATAATTTTATTGCAGATTGTAAATTTTGCACTTACAATACAGAATGATTGACTTTTAAAACTTAAAAACTGTTTCCACATAAACACATGTTCACATACACAATGTGACATGAATCCAAATAAAGGAGGTCACATGTACACAGACCTGTATACTCAAGTATCTAAACAGAGAAGGTATAAGACAGTGTAATAATGATCTGTTGTCTTGCCAGATTTTCTGTCTGAAAATAATTTATTTGCAATGTAGCAAAGCAGGTTAAAACATTTTGTAGTTTGGGAAGCTGATGGAGTCTTTTTGTTTTTCTCTCAGAAAACGGGAGACAAGTTGCAGCTGGACAGTGGACATATCGCCATGACTTATACTGCTATAGCTTCTCTTCTTATCCTGGGGGACAATCTTAGTGGAGTTAACAAGTCAGCAGTGCTGCAAGCTCTCAGCCAACTCCAGCAGGAGGACGGAAGGTAAGGCCTCGTATAGAGAAAATCAACAGTGTGATGGATATTGCAAAGATGAAAAATAAGTGTTGGTTGTAAATAATTGTCAGTGAAATCAATGCTTTTATTTATTTTGATTAATTCATTCTGCTTTACTAAACTGAGCAGGCAGGCAGTCTTTCAAAGAAAAAAACAAAATTTAACATTTTTAAATATGTTCAGTATGTCATGGGTTTTTGATCTAGCCTTTGATTTTCAGCTTTTGTTGTGTACCGGAAGGAAGTGAAAATGACATGCGCTTTGTTTATTGTGCCGCATGTATTTGTTACATGTTAAATGATTGGTCAGGAATGGATGTTGAAAAAGCAGTTCACTTCATTCAAAAAAGTCAGGTAAGGGCAAATGTTCTTATTTAGCCATTAAAGGTATTTAAATATATTTCTGATGCCCTGATAGTATAACGGTACAGTTTCTGTTTGTATTTCAGTCATATGAGGGTGGGATAGGACAAGGCCCTGGTCTAGAAGCTCATGGTTAGTATTGCAGAGTAATATCAGTTCTTCAGATCTTGTTCTGTATTCACTTTAGGGATGCTTGATTTTATTTTTTACAGGCTTCTCAATGAATCAGATGTATTTGTTATTTTTGACAGGTGGATCAACATTTTGTGCAATAGCAGCATTAGTACTTATGAACAAATTAGAGACTAGCTTTACACCCAAACAATATAAACGATTACAGCGCTGGTGCATTAGCCGACAACAATCGGGGTTCCAGGGGCGACCAAACAAACCTACCGACACGTGCTACTCCTTCTGGGTGGGAGCGACACTGAAGGTAAAAATGATCTGATGAGTGTTATACAGTAAAGTGCATTATAGTTTTTGACCCTTTGACAAAAATTCCAAGTCTTATTCAACTCTCATGAAGTAAAAGTCTGCATGTGTGAATTTAGATAATTTTCTTAAGATTTCTGTTTCTTTGTAAACTTGGATTGTCTTGTTAATTCAAAAAAATTAATTAAAAATGAATGAATGTAATAATGGTATTGTTGCACTCTATGTAATTTATTTTGTGTGGATTTAGCTGATAGATACTTACCAGCTAAGTAATGTAGAATGTAATCGAGGGTTTTTGATGGAGACACAAGACGCAATAACAGGAGGTTTTTCCAAGTGGCCGGACCACACACCAGGTGAGACTGGGACTAGAATGAAGTTAGAGAAATAAATTAATCTATCATCATTTAACCTACAACCAAATTACTTTGAAAAGCAGTTTTCCCATTTTTTATGAAAATTTATTGTGAAATGTTACATGGTTTTAAGTTATTAAACATGATTATTTTGCCTACAGATGCCTTACACGCTTACCTCGGTTTGGGAGGTTTGTCTCTTCTCGGGGAGGAAGGTGTGCTTGCCATGCACGCAGCATTAAATATCAGTCAAAGAGCTAGTGAACACCTTGACAACTTACACTCACAATGGAAAAATTAATGATACTCAGATATAGGTATAATTATGTGACTGTTTACTTTTTCCTGTGATCATAAAATTTTACATGATTTGTAAATTCATTCTTTATATTTTTATATCATTTTGTAGTATATGTACACTTATTTTGGCCAATATGAAACTTAGTGGCATTTACTTAAAAATGTGAATTCAAAACTATCTCTAAGAAGAATGAAATGACAGTTTAGACTCAATGACAGTATATTTGTAGTTTTCCTCTTGACCAAACCTTTATTGATGCAGCTTAATTTTATGGTGCATGCATTTTTACACATGCATTGTATTGTAAGAAGTTATGTGATACTTCTTTTAAAAGTCTCTTAAAATGTTATGTTTGTTTAATAAAGCTGATCATCAAATCTCCAAACAAAATTTCAGTTTTATTTTCTCTGCATTATGTCTATTAAATTACATTCACAAGCAGATTGTTCAATATGTACCAAATTACTGTGATATATTACTGTGATACAACCATGCTACAAACCCCTAAAATGCTGGGGTGGGGTGATGGGGCAACCAGCCTTTGTCAAGCTAACGATGGAAAAGCTGAAGTCATCTTATTTATAACATGTAGATTTCATTTGTCCCTTATCTTTTAACATCCAAATATAAAGAAAATTTAGCAGAATCAGTGGTGCCTTTGTATTCGAGTTCATTGTGGTATTTCAAATCTATTTATGAATATAAAAGATATGTAAGGGAAGTTGACGATTGAAAAGTTAAAGTCATCACGTTTGAAGTAAACCGTGGTAGTAATATTACCATTAACGTCCTATTCAAGTAAAATCTAAATATGAAGCAGATTTGTCAGACTCTTTTATGAATTCGATTTGATAAGAATATAAAAACGGTTGTCTAAATAAGTAACACAGTTGCCAAAGTTACAGGAAAATCGTTAATATTTTGCAAATTCATAAATTCTTGGTCTTTACAAACAATGTATAATAACCTTGTTAGCAAATAGCGATCATTGGGTCATATATTACAACTGACATAATTCATACTAATTGGAAAACTTTTATTTTATGCTAAATTTTACGAAATATTCCGTATATACCTGTTCAAGACCACAGGGGCTTGCTCCCGGCGTGTGATAATTATTTATTTTAAAAAAATCATATACGGTAATAATAAAAACCGTAAATGATTTTTTAAATAACTTATTATTACACGCCGGGAGCAAGCTCCTGTGGTCAAGACGTAGGGTTCACGGCGGATGTGACCTGTCAAACGGGATGATTTTTCCTTCAAGACCCGTGATCCCACCGCAGGAATTTGAGGGGTCCGTATTTTATGCCATTTTCACAGAATTGTATTGTTCGTTCATTACTTATCTTTACCTTTTTCATTAAAGGGGCTGGGGTTGGTTGGTCATTTTTAGACTATATTTTGATCTCCTTTAGAAGAAGAGCTCCGTATGAAGATGTACAAAATGATTAAATTTCAAAACTAAACTGCAGGAAAATTTTCATTGCCAAATGATAGTTGACAGCTGTAGAAATCATATCTAAAAAATAAAGTTAATTATATCTAACTATATCTATCACAGGTACTTGGGATATCTATCTATAGTTAATTATATATAAGGTTTTAGTTTAAAGTCAAATGACTCGTTCAAATTGTTTAATTAGAGTGCCCTTAGCTGTGGAATGTAGATAAACTTTATCCAAACATTTTGTTTTCTCACATTCCTTTCAAAATTATCTGGATCCACGCTTACAATTAATAAATAAACGATTTTATTTGACTGAAATTTCTTTGCTAAATTTAGCCTCTGATTTTCCAACACTTTAAATAGTGCTGTTCTTTCACTTTGACAAATGTGTAAATGGCCAAAGAAAGTCGTTTCATTACCAGTGAATTTTGTATAAATGTTATAGACCTTTTACTCGAACACGAGGGGAATCGTTTAGAAAAAAGAATACCCCCTACCCCCCGCCATTAAGCTTAAATTCTATTGCCGTAATTAAATTCAGTATATAGCAAAGTTATAAATATACATTGTATGTGTTTGCGCAATATATGTTGTTTCGTTTTGAAATATTGGTCAAAGTATATAAATTTACCATCAACTGGAGAAAAATTATAATAAAAATGTTACAATTAAACACAAAGTAAGAAAGTTGAATGATAAATAGTAATAAAGAAAGAAACCTAAAATAAATTTTGCTCAGAAATTAGAAATACATTTAGCAATACCTAAAACAAATGTCTGAAAGCAAAATACTGAGTACTCTTTAAATAGAGGTGATACTTAACTTTTATATTGGGTAGGTCCGATTGGATTGGGTTATCCTGTTAACATTATACCCCAATTCAGACATATGACTTACCCTTTTACTTTTTATATTATTAACGTACAATAGATATACATTTATTTGCCAAATCATGTGTTGTATACCGTTTCATTTGAATATACATGTATTCATGCATGTCAACAAAACCGAAATGTATGTAAAAAATTTTCATGATTTGAAACGATAAACACAAAAAATGATACGAAAGAATTATACCAAAGAATCCAATGAAGATCAATTTCAGTTTATTTAAGTAATTAAGCTTATATCTATGTCAGTAATATGTTGACATTATGAAAGTGACAAAACATTCATGAAGTTTATCCCCAGTGGGACCATGATTGACAAATGGATGCTCTAGTGTTTCATATAATATTCTTAGAATAATTCTTTTTTTAAGACAAGTTTAATTTAAGTAAGAAACATTTATAAATTGAAAATTATTGACGATGAAAAAATAAATAAAGTAAGAAATAGATATTTTTTTATTTTATTTTATTCAATTTGGCAAAAACTACATGTGGCGCAAGTCATACATACCGTAAACAAATATAAAATATATAGTCACATAGATTTTCTTATATTACATGCATCATGTATGAAGTTACAAATATTTCTTGTAGAGTTAACATCTGCTGGATTAAGAATTTTATAAGATTTACATGTATTATTAAAAAGTGTACAAAATTCACTTCTTAGTTGTTTATAAAGAGGACATACAAATAAAAAATGATGTTCATCTTCAACGACATTCTGACAATAAATACAAAATCTTTCATCTCTTGGTATAATTGGGTTACAATATCTGCCTTCCTCTATCTGTAATTTGTGTGCACTTATTCTAAATCGAGTATAAATAAAACTCTAACAGTATCATAAATTAATTGCAATTGAAAAAAAAATGATAATGGTTGAACAATATGCCCATGCAGTCAAATTTTGACAATAAATATTTATAATGAAATTGCTACGCTTTGATAACATAATTTAAAATATGTACATTGTAGTTATAATTTTACATAGAACAAGTCATATATAACCTGGAAAGTCACTAGTATCAGCTTAATTATGAAGTCGAGGTGATTCAAAAACTTCTACTGATTGAGCTTCTTTATTGTTCGTTATCTCTATTTCTTATTAAAGGGGAAAGGGAACTATTAAACCTGAAAAAAATATGTGGACACAGCGATCAGTATTCAAACTCCAAAGTCAATCAAACCATACATTTATATTATTATAACAGTAACTTGATCCGAAGGGTCGTATCACGTCGAGTTGACAGGCGCGGATCATCAGATCTAACGAGACGCGTACGTCATCAGTTTCAGAGAGTGGTGATATGGATTCAGAAAACTACAGTGTGGTGATCCGGAAAGTCGGACCAGGACGTCACGTGATTGCATAAAATCAACAGTAAAATTGAGTGATACACGTTAGGTATATAATAAAAACTAGTACAAGAGCAAACATCAGAGGTGGGATCAGGTGTCATGGAGGTGTGAGCATCCCCTGCGTACCGCTCACATCCTCAGTGTGCTCCTTTTAATGATCGGGGAAATCCGTCCACAAATCAGTGAGTAAACGATGGCTTAAAAATTGTCAGTCAGGATTTGACTTTATGATCCACTGCAGAAATAAACATACTGTGGCCTTCATATCGATATTTATTTCATCAATAAACGAAAGTTAATCAATTCTTAGGTCGACTTTTTACTTCCCTTCATATGTCTAGTCGATATATCTTGGTGAACTTGAAATACTAGTAAAAGATACAAAGGAGTCAGACATATGTTCCGTATTAAGATATTTTTCTAGAAAAGGATGTCATTGTTAATCTAATAATGAAACATATGAAGTGAAGGATATGGAGATAACGAACAGTATTCGATATCAAACTCCATAAAACAATACAAAATAGGAGCAGAGCAAACAGGGACCTCCAAAAATCAGAGGTGGGATCCGGTGCCAGGGAGGAGTGAACACCCCCTGCCGACCGGTCACACCTGCCGCGTGCTCCATGTCATGATCGAGAAATAACGGAAAAAATACGTCGTCAATTCAGTGTATAAATAATGGACTAACAATAAGTATGAAAACCCCCTGTCAGCATTTGACTCAATGATAAATTGTATTTGCTGACAAGGTCATTGTATCGACCATAGAATTTGGCAAATGATGATTTTAAACGAGACAGCTGATATTCTTGTTTCAGCAACTTATTTGTCAGTAATTTACCTCGTTTTAGAAATAGTTCGGACATAGAGCATGCTCCTGAGTATCGAATCAACTGAGATATATATACTCCGTATGCAGGTGATGAAGGTATATTGCTGCATAAGTAAGGGAAGTTGACGATAGATAAGTTAAAGTCATCACGTTTGTCATAAAGCTCTGTTGTAAGATATCCATTAAAGTCCTTTTATGATAAAATATCTAAATATAAAAACAGATGTGTCAGACTCTTTGATATCTTTTATAAATTCAACCTCATAGGAATATAAAAACGGTAGACTAAATAAGTAACACAGTTGCCAAAGTTACAGTGATTAAAACATCGTTAATGTTTTGCAAATTCACAAATTCTTTGTCGTAATGATGTACGAGGGTTGTCCCGTTAAATCGTGGACAAGTTGTATAGTTTGAAAAATAATCATCACTGCGTTCTGAAAGTTTCTCTAGTACATATATTATAAATATACATAGCAAATTTCAAATAGATATGTGCATAAATAAACAAATTGTGATATTTTATGTTATGTACTGTAGCGCCCTACGGCGCACGGATGATAACGTCGACGTGTCTAAAACAGCGTCACGCTTCATGTTTGCTAAAATAAAGTTGGATATGCCCCACTTAAATTTAGAAATTTTATTGATTTACATACGTGAGTGTTTATTACCAGTTAAGGAACCAATGTGGCACACTCATGTGATCTTCTGAATATTTATGAGCAAGTTACGGACAGTATTCTCACCATCAGTCAAGTAAATGAGAATCTCATATCGACGGTCGACAGTGACAGCGTCTTTTACTATTACAATGGCAGTTTGTCCGCATGTTTTG